GGGGAAAGAGGCAAAGCCAAACAACATGCTTCATCTTTCTCAACATTATGATTTGCTATGGACAAAGAAGAGAGGAAAATATGTTAACAACTTTTGAAAAAATGTTTTTTTCTGAAAAAAAAACAAAATACACCATCACTGTTGGGGAGTAACAAACTGAAAACAACTAATTTAGCAGTGCTTCTAAATTAAGTACATTGGCAGTAAATGTCATATGCATACATACTGTATACAGACTAATTATATATTATAATTACAGTATATAGTTAAGACATCACCATTTATAGAACTTTAATGTAGTTTGCTATGCTTTATTAAATTGTGGTATAGTTAACTACTCGATAGTTAAATGATAAATGACACCGTGTAGCTTCCCAAACATTTTATTTCAAGAGGTCTTGCTGAAGTCTGGTGGGTTAAAATATAATTCAGCCTCATAAGAGCAGACTAAACACCAAAAATATGAATTGGATGCTCTTTTTCACACTTTTTTAGATGTAATTAGCTCGGTATGTGGCCACATAATGAGCAGTCCCACTGTGACTAAAATTGCTATCAGTGTGAGAGGACCAGATTCACAGTTTGAACAAATGGAGTGCTGCTACTTTAAAGTACTGAACACGTACGAGAAAAACCAAAACCCAAATCATGGTACCAAATTATACACTGAATCAAAGGATTAATGCAACTGCTTTAAGGGATAAAACATATTAAAACCATAAAAATGTGTCTTCACACGATTAGCAATTGCAATTTCCTAAATCCAAAATCATTTGTAAAGGCATGATTCATTCTGTAAGTGTGCAGATAGGGAATTGCAAATATACCTAATTCAAAGGTCACTCAAACATGCAGACACACTAAACCCTGAATATAAAACCCTAGAGGTCTTTATTCCTTTTCATCTGTCTGTGAAGAGATACAGAGAGAGATGGATATATTCACAATATTCAGTTTATCAATGTGAAGCATAATATATAATGAAAGATAGTGTGGGAGTGTGTACCTGTATCACGGCAGTACTTCAGCCTCTGTTGGGTGAAGGATTCTGCTTGCTGTAGGGTTGCACACTTGTGCTCTTTAGCATCTTCATCTTTCTCTTTTTCAATTCTTTCCCTCTCCTCATCCTTTTCTTTTCTCCTCTCCCAGGAGCAACGTTTCTTCCCCACTATCATACTATCTTTCTTTGTATTTATCTCTCCGTCTTGACCTGTGGAGAAAAGATTGTGAGCAAGAAAGAGTGACTGGTAGTTACAAATATCAATATTTTGATCTATTTTTCATCCGGCAGGGGAATACCCCTCTGTGCATGTTTGCTCTTTAAAAAAAGGCTGCACTGAAGACAAGTAGTTTGAAATACTTTCATTGGTATGTTTCGTGGTGTCTTTTCTATAATAAGTGGACGAGTGAATCATCTCTATGGGGAAAACTAAATAAGTGAATAATTCCTATAAGTGCACAGACAGAGAAAGAGATTCACAACAGATTCAGTTCTCATTATTTATACAAAAATGCTAATTTGTTCTTTACTCATTCCATTCTTCTCGTGCTCCATATAGCATCTGTATTCTGTGATTTCAAGGTGACAGAGCCACATGAAGTGATGACAAGAAATTGCAAACATAAAAACCTCAGGCAACTTTAAAATAATCATATAGCCTACTGTACACACACATGCTTTTCTGTTCTGCTTGGGACCCTGCTTCTTTGACCTATTGTTTTTATATACCGAGCTAGTAATATTTTCCGTTCCCTACTAAATTGAATCCTCACATCTATGGATGTTTACAATTTCATTATTTAGTATGTTTATTAAGCCGTTTTCCTCATTCAGATTTTACCATCATTGTTGGGACATTTAATCCCGATTCCCCGCGATGTAGGCTATTCAAAACCACACACGTTTAGTTTTACAAATTCGTCAAGACAACTTTGTTGTTCTAGAAGCCCAAAACTGACGCAGTGCATTGATTACCATGATAAATAATTCTTCAGTAAATCGATCTGTATTAATATGCACCACATACAAGAATGATGAAAACCCCATCTCAATGAAAATACATTAGGCTACTCAAAAATGCAACGAAAGTTCTGCCCAAAACAGTTTGTCTCCTGTTTAGATTTTTGCCGATTGATCTTCAGCCGAATGATCTGCAAATAATGAGTCTGTCAGTGGTTTGTCCCGCGGTCGGATTTCACTTTTAGACAACAGGGAAGCAAGCGGTTAAATAAATAAAAAGCATTTCGTACCTTTCAAAGATCTGGGCTTCGCCTGCTTTCGACGAGACATTGCAAAGGACTTCGGCAGCTGTCAACACAAACGGGTTAAGTTGCTGTCCAGTGTTTGCAAACGCAGGACAACACAAGCGGCAAACACTTTCGTACTGTTCCGGGGATTGGAATACAGGGAACGCACATTAATATGACGGGCAAAGGGTCTCGCCCCCGCCTACAGCAGCGGGATGACTCCATACACGCGCTGCGCCACCGGGGGCTCGCGAGATGCGTAATCACTGTACTCACACACACACACACACACACACACACACACACACACACACACACACACACACACA